ACATTCCAGAACCTATCAAGCTGGGCTTGACGAACAATTTCCCAGTTAATCCTGAGTTGATATGTCAGGAACCTGGAAATTGGCAATATCTGGCTGAAATCCACCAGGACGCCCAATCAAAAAATGAGAGGGGGTTAACGGTTGAGAAGCACCGGGCTCATCACCAACAAAAGTCAAGGGCCGAGTGTTAATACAAGTCTCTATTTCTGTGAGCGTGGTCTCCAGCTCAGAGCGTGTGAGACAACGAACACCAATGGTTTTCCTGAGCGCCGATTTTACTGACCTAACAAGTCGCTCCCACCAGCCTCTCCACCATGGAGACAGAGGAGCAATGAACTTCCATTGGGGAGACAGCGAGCCAAAATACTTCTGAACTTCTCGAGCAGCACTGGTGAAAGTCTTGGCGTTGTCTGAATAAAAGACAGCAGGAAGGCCACGCCTAGCAACAAACCTACGAATAGCCAGCAAACAATCAACGAGATTGAGAGATTCAGTAAGTTCTTGATGTACAATTCGTACAACAGCACACGTGAACAATAAGATGTACAGTTTCTTATTGGGTAGATCTACAGAGAATAATGGACCAGCATAATCTAACCCACTTATGGTAAATGGAGGGGCAGACTTGACTCTTAAACCAAGTAAGGGGCAACAGACTGAAGACAAGCCTTCGAGTCCTGTCTGCGGCAAGAAACACATTCCCTACAAACAGTTTTGGCTAATCTTCTTAGTCCAACAATCCAATAACAGTTCCTGAGTGTAGACACTACAGTAGCAACTCCAGCATGTTTCAAAACACTATGCTGAAAACGAACCAACAGTTTAGCTAGATGCCCTGAAGGGACAATAACAGGATGTTTATTCTCATAACTCAATTCTGAGAACTCCAAACGACCTTTAATTCTCAAGAATCCATTACTAGCTAGAAAAGGATCGAGCTTGAGAAGAGATGATCCCTTGTGCAGGGGTTTACCAAGCTTTAAAGCGTTTATCTCATCAGGATAAGCCACCTGTTGAACACTTGACAACAACCTACTCTTGGCTTGAGAAAACTCATCAAAGGAGAAATGTCCAGACACCTCGGCAGCATGACGTCGAGCATTATGAACAAATCTCAGCACCCAAGCAACAACACGTATAGCCTTAGTCATTGTACCCCAACGATCAATCTCAAAGACTACAGGGGGTGGGGTGACAGACACGCATGAAACATATTCCCTCTCTGCCTGACTACAATCCTCACTAGCAGCAGAGTCATGAGAAGATTCATTCACAAGGGTTTGATTATCAGATAAACAATCAGGACCAGACAACCAAAGACTAGAGGAGACTAACTGCTGTGCAAATAGACCACTAGTGATGAGGTCTGCAGGATTATCCTTGCCAGGGCAGCGATACCAAATACTAGGGGGAGTCAGGGTCTGGATCTCCGACACCCGGTTACAAACAAAGGTTTTCCACCTGTGCGGGTCGCCCTTAATCCAAGATAAAGCGACCTGGGAATCGGTCCAACAGCTATAAGAAACCAATTCAGCAAGATGGAGCGCTGTCTTAACGAAGACCAACAATCGGGCACAATGAAAAGCCCCCAACAATTCTAAACGAGGCAATGTCACTTTCTTAATAGGCGCAACCTTAGCTTTCGCTACAACAAGAGACACATCAAAGGAACCAGTCTGTGTAGGGACTCGAACGTATACACAGGCACCATACGCTATCTCAGGTGCGTCCCCAAAGGCATAGAGTTCAATCCCTTGCAGGGTTTTCCAGGGGTTACCAACTGAATAGCATCTGGGAATCTTCCAAGATTTCAGATGGTCAATACCGGCAACCCACCTAGAAAACTGGTGTTGCATGCTATCAGGCAAACATCATCCCACTGGACTCCTCCACATTTCCTGAAACAGTATCTTTGCAGACATGATAAACGGACTCAGGAAACCTAATGGGTCGAAAGGTCTGGCAATAAGACTGAGAACAGCACGCTTGGTGGCAACTACATCGGATGATGCATCAACAACGAGACCATCATAGGAGAAAGAATCAAGCATGGAAGACCACTGCATACCTAACACCTTGACTGAGTCAAGGGCTGCTGCCAAACTGTCCTCACTAAATTTATCTGTCAGAGCCTTGCTGTTCGAGTTCCACTTAGCTAGCTGCATGTTAGCCTTATCCATAACTGAACAAGCTTCATCAAACAGAACACATGCTTCACCAACACCATCTGCGCCTGATAACAGGTCATCTACATATAAATTCTCTCTGAGTTCATCAACAGCTGGAGAAGAAGGGAGTCAATGTGATGTCTAATTGCAGCGTTTAACAAGAATGGGCTACTTTTGTTTCCAAAAGGTAGACGAACAAACCGCATAGTTCGTACAGAGTCTGAACACTGCCTTAGTAAACGATGGACATCTTGGTCCCCACGCTGGAAAGCAATCTGTAGGAAAGCTTTGGTGATATCCGCAGTCAATGCAACAGGCCAACGTCTAAACCGAATGAGAATCTCAACAATGCTAGGAATAAGGGAGGGTCTCGTTTCAAGACAATCATTTAACGAGGTCCCATTATAACTAGCAGCTGATGCGTCGAATACAGGACGGACCTTAGTGGACACACTACTCTCTCGCACTACCGGGCGGTGAGGTAGATAATAGGTTGGAAACCTACTGACAATCTCCGTGGAAGGAACTTCCTCAATGATACCTTTCATTTCATAACCAGCGAAAACAGAGTCATATTGAGACTTCAACTGAGGGTCCTTATCTAAGCGACGGTTAAGACTTTCAAGCCTCTTCCTTGCAAGACCTTCGTTCTTGACAAGACTACCTTTGGCTTTCTCTGATTTCTAAGGCAGTGACACCTGATACCTGCCATCCACAAACTCGACAGATTCAGAAAAGGACCTTAGTACAGGGTCAGGATGGACAGCCTGCGATATGGCGGCCTCATTGGAACTAATCCCCACAGCCTCTAACTCCCAGAAACTACAAACTACAGAATCAGGAAGCCTTTCCAAACACAACAACTGGGGCGAAACAGCGCTAGTGGTGGAAGGGTTGTCCCATGAACCAGACAATATCCATCCAAACAGCGACTCTTGTGCCACTAAACCCTCAACACTCTGTACACTACCAGGTATCATAAACCTCCAAAAAGCATCAAGTCCCACTAAAATGTCCACTGTAATCTGTCTACTGTCCTCATAACAGTCAGCAAATTGAACAGAATCAAAGGCACTCAACAGTTGACTAGGTACCCAAGGTCGGACTAAAGGGGCACAAATGGTAGGGATCTGTACTGCCAACAATGAGTGACCCATCCCTCTACTATCCCTTAGTTTAACCTCATACACACTAGACAGTTTATTGCTTGGTGATTTACCACCTCCAAAGGCAGAATACACAATAGGCTCAGCTGCGACTCACTTGGGCTTTATTTTCTTCACAAGATTACTTGATACAAATGATCTATCTCACCCAGAATCAAATAACAATGTAGCTTCAACACAATTGCCAGATTCCCCACACACTGTAACTTTGGCTGTTTGCAATACACAGCAAGTTTGAGTCGAATCATGTCTACTAGCAGCCACCCCAACATGAACATGTGATACATCAGACGTCACAGTGTTTGGAGAATCGCTAGCGTTACCCGCATTACCACTAACGTTGGTAAACATAGTGGCAGGAGCACCATTACTAGTGTTAACATTAGGACCAAATTTAACTTTCCTGCGACAAGTTAATACATTATGTTGTCCTTTACATTTAGTAGAAATAGTTGTACACTCTCTCGAATAATGGCCTTTGCTTACTACCAGATTACTGGGGGAAAACCATTTTGGATTTGAAGACCAATACAGAAATTATATACCCTTAGCGATAAGTGAGAGAGATAACCAAGAAAAAAGAGACCCAGTTAACGGAGTAGTGGGGTACAATAAAATGGATGGGCCTAAAAGATCGGTGGCCGTCGCCTTGAAAAGCGAAATATATCTACCATCACAATCATGCACAAAATCCCTCCGGAAGGCCAAGGCCATCTCCTCGGCCTGCCTGCAAGTTTTCTACACTATTGATGGCCCCTGAAATAATTATCAGAATCAAATCACTTTCAATCTTAAATATTCAATATAATCAATATTTAATAGATGAAAAAGTAATAATTACTCAAATAGAATTTTTAATTAACTATAACAAAGAACAAAAACAACATTTACAAATATTGGACATTTGCCAGAAAAGAAAAGAAAATGTCGAACAATGAACAATTAACAATGAATAATAAATAGTTCTGAACAATAAATGATTTCAGTGAGGTAACCTTTTGATTATAGTCACTTATTGGTCAATATAAAATAACTTTGCTTGTAGCAAGGAGTCATATAGACTCCTTATTTTGTATCGGTTTAGTTCTTCAATGATCGTTCGAATAAATCAAGGAACCTGTCAACTCTCTGCATTTTATCAGAATGCATTTTCTTTGCATCTGAAGCCATTTCCATCCCAACATCCTTCATCTCGGTCATGACCAGAAGTTGTTGATTGCGAATACCACTTGATGATCGTCGCGAAACTTTAGGGGTCTGCTCAGGAGACGAGGTGCTGCTCTGGTCAGTTTCCAAACCACTCCTATTTCTCCTTTTTTATTCGGGGTGAAAGCTTCATCAGTATCAGCCAATGAAGTGGATGAGCCAGCAACACTTGATGGAAGTGAAGTAGATGCACAAGTGAAACTGGGGCAGATATTAAAGGTAGATGTAGCATTGCCTTTTGACTTAGGATTAAGTGAATCAAAATTGAAAACTGGAATCGTTGATGCTCTGTCGCTAAATAGACTATCGAATTCGTCCATGTACTTAAACTCCTGCCTCTCAGCACCAGTTTTATTATTGTTGTCAGTGGTTTTTTTGTACTTCTTTTTCAGGGAATTCCACTTATTTATTAACTGAGACTGAGTAATACTTGCATCAGAGTTAAGTTTTACCATCTCCTCTCTAATCGATTTCCAAAGTGTGATATTATTCTTTTCACCTTTAATGAACAATTTTTTCCTTGCTAATTGCAGATTTACGAGGGACTTTTCTTCTGCCACACTCCAGAAATGAGGTGCACATCACTGGTCGAAATTAGATTCACCCGTATCCTTTCTTTCAACACCATTCAACTTGCCTCAAAATATCCTGTTGTTCCTTAGGATCTACGAAAAAGAGAACAAATTCAGTTTATTCATTTTTTATTAAAGAGGAACACAATAATCCGTGTGAGATAATAGTTTTTGGACTCACTGTGGACTTTTATTACTATTGATAAATCATACTAAAATAAACTTACCTATGTCAGGAGAATTTACCAATTTGGCCATGTTCTCATCCACACTTATTTGGTGAGTCTGTCCATCATAATCGAACTGTAGTACTACGTCACCGCTGTAAAAGAAAGACAGAATTATTGATTTTTGTTTAATTGAATTGGATTTGAAATCATCGGCGTGATCGTGTGCTGGCCTACACAAATCACTTTTTATCTTGTATACCAGCGACGACTAATGTAACGTTTGGCATGTCAGTGTTGAAAGAAAACATTTCGAATCACTTAGAAACAATTTAAATGTTCCTTATAGCAAAAGTAGGAGAAATATTAATCTTTTTTATATTGAAATTACCAACCTTCCACTAACGCCCGCCATCTTGAAACCGAGCTCGACCAACCTCCGGAGATTGGTACAACTCGGTCGGACTACGGTTCGGACTAAATCACGTTCGGGTGCATCTAGTCCCGACATAGTCAAGAAATCGTGGCACCCGAAGGCCGCCCAGGATAGATCTGCCCGGATGGCCTAGATTGGGCCGACATGGGGCCGACATGGGCTATATTGGTACAGGATGGCCCGGATCAGGCCGATATCGGGCCAATATAGATGGCTGGCTGGATAAGAAACAGAGCTTCTCAGTGTTCTCTGCAGGATATGGATGAGGCGCAGATTGCTTGGTTTCCTGCCTGTTAGAGGTATAATTGACTGATAGAGAAACTGGTAATAGACTATAAAATGTAGTAAAATATCTATAACACTTGTTTAAATAGATTAGTTAAATAAGTTAGAAATAAATGTTAAGAATTATATATATATATATATATGTTCAATTTTTTGAAAATGAAGAATGTAATTTAGAAAATGCAATAAGCAATGATAATGCAATTTAAACAAACCTGTTGCATCTAACACCAGCAGCAGTCCACATGTCTCTATTGCAGCCACTCATGTCACACACCACTGCCTTCACCTTAAAACCAATCGATGATAACTGGCAAATGATGGATGAGGTTACTTGCTACAACTTCAGCCCCTTTACAGACTTGCCAGTGTAGTAGTATGCTGAAATGACAGAAAATAAAATAACACATTCTTGTACACAAAATTTTAACTTGCTCGAAAATAAACTTTATCCTTGAAATAATTAAGATGTTATATTTTATGAGATTTCAATAGAGCAAGTATATCATGTACACCTCTAGCAGAAATTGAACATACCTGAAGGACAATTGCTATTAACGTAGTTAAACGTAACGACAACATGTGATTGGCATGACATATTGGGAAAAGTGTAATATGTGTGAACATTTGCATACATAAATCATGGTCAGATTTTAATAAAAGCCAGCTCTGCTACAATACTATCCCATTTACCAACAACTTGCTTCCAACGTGTTGTAAGACCCTTCACCATGAAGCACATGACCTCAGATGCTAGCTCATCATTTGCGTTTATGGAAAATTCGTCAGCCACAAAGCCAAGGTATTGCTTTAGGGCAGGATCATACTCAAGGCACTTGCGGATCTCAACAGCATCAAGTGCTAGCACACAGTCACATTCTTGTGGCTCCATGGTAGAGGCTTTTTCCTCCAGCCAATACAGGACAGTCCTCTGAATGCCTGGCTGCATGTCAAAATGTGAGACCCTACTGCAAATGGAACGGTATGAAGGCAGTGGAAAATTCTGTTTTCTAAGAAACTCGTATCCTTTCACACCAATTGCACATCTAATCTGAAGGCTCTTTTTAATGGTATCTCTAGACCAGTTCATGCCAGGAGAACGTGGAGGCAGTTCTAGAGACTTTATCTGATCTTCGGTCAGAAATCTGTCTAGGTTTTTGTTGTTCTCATACAGTTTTTGCTGGAGATCACCAACCTAAAACAGAATGACATGGCTGTAAAACTGTTTGTTGTACCATTGTTGAACTTGAAGTAATAGTTTAATGAACAGCTTCCAGTCTATCAACAGTTATTACTTTGAATTTCTGTTCCTAAGCATACACTGATTAAAGCACATTACACTGAACTCCCACTGAACTAAGTCTGATTTTGAGAGGTAAATTAAAATAAATAAATAAAAACAATTTGCCTACTATAGAAAATTCGAATTACACTATACAGTACATGTGGACAAAATTAATTAGTTGTTATCTTTCTCTGCAGTCTACGTTTTTCTAACAGCAGGTCACGACACTTTTTTTCCACACAGTACAATTAGCACAAGACTGTTCCTCTACAGAGTCGAAGTCACGATCAAATATTCCCTCGTCTTCTACTTGAACTGGTTCCTGATAATCCAGTTTCTGCACCTTGCTGTAGCAGTGGTCAGCAGCAGCAGGAGCTATACAACTTTGTTCACACATTTCTAAAAGCCAAGAAGAAAAATAATTACATTAACATTGTTTTCCTGATGATTTCTCAAGGCGTACGTGGTGGTGTTGATGAAGATATCTCAGTGCTATCATTTCTGCAACAGCCATTCTTATTTTTTGCTTGTCTTTAACCTGCATTCATGGCACCTAAAACCTTTATGTATGTCTTCCATCTACTATAGTAAGTATGTTTTATTTCAAGGCCTTGTGATGCATTTTCCGTTGGGGTGTATGTAATTGTTGTCAAAATCATTTAATTACGAATACAGAAATATACTTTCTGAGACTGCATGCTCTTGATTACTGTGCATCCTGCCATTTTTATTGTATGTATGTATTGTTGTATGCCATTAAAAAAAATTATAATACGTAAGACAGTAAGTGCATGTTTACCTCTAGACCGAATAATTCTGTCACAGATAACGTTTTATATTTTGGATGCGTTATACTGGTATATAAAACATTATCTGGGACAGAATTATTTGGTCTAGTTTACCTCCTGCCTGTTCTCGTTTCAGAAGTCGATCTTCTTGTAGGTGTTAACACTAACACCTTTGGTGGCACTAACACATTGAACAATGTTGGAATAGCCAAAGGAACCAGCTTTCTTTTTCCATCTTGTCATTTCGCCTCAAACTGTGATTCCTCAAAATGTTCCTGATGCACATGAATATTAGATTACGCATATGACTAACACTAATACCAACCTAAAACTCTTATAGTTATATTAAGTAATTCCGTCTAACTTCCACGTGACGTAATTGCATACCTAATTGCAATAGGACATTGTTAGTTATGTAAACAACATGCTAACTAAATAGCTATGCTATTTTTAGTCGTACAAGCATATCGGCCTTGTCTCATAATGCTTCACAGTTGAAGTTGTACGCAGGAAAAAATAATGATGAATTTAGATTACTTTAAGTATAACCAGGGAGTCTATAATAGGGGGAGGTGCCACTCTGTATATTTCCCTATGTAATCATTTATGCAGTGGCGCCCCTAGTGGTCGGTTGTGCAAACTACCATAGTACTGTATTATTTAACCCAAGATACTAACATTATAAAACACCTGGCTTAATTGCTGTATTATATCTGGCATTTCTTTTATGTGCTTTAGT